CCCTTGTAAATGGCGTGCAAGAAGTATCCTCGACTTGGCGTAATAATAATACCAGGTTTTTACTACATTTGCGTTAGCTCGTTTTACGACTACCGCTTCTCTCGCATCCTCTGCGCCTGCTTTCGTCATTATCGACTATATGCATATTCGATCGTTATCGCGTACTCTCTAGGAGTCGTGTACCAGGCCGCGGAATGTAAATACATAATATTCCTCTCTTTCTTCCACTCTCGCGCACCATCATCTGGCCGTGTCAACCCCGCGGATATACCCGTCCCCGTAGATGAGAGCGTGGCTGGATGGGAAGCTCCGGGTGGTCTTTTCGCGCTCATCACTCCGGCTGTCGATGACAACCGGTCGTTGGCCGGCGGGATAATTAAGGACCTACCTGCGAGCGCGGAGGAAGAGAGAGAGAAGAAGAAGAAGGAGAGGAGAGAAGAGAAGAGGGAGAGAGGAAGAGAGAGAAAAGAGTTAAATTGCCAGGGCTTGGGATCTCTAGGGATGACGCCGTGCAACCACGTAGGCGCCTCGAGGCGGCTGAACGTCGTCTCGTCGCCGGCGGCGACGACAAGACAGAGAACGCGCCGTGTCGTGAGCAGCCAGGTATTCGTTTCGTAAGAACGGACCACATATCGGTGACGTTAAACAGCCGACGACAAGCGGCCGTCGCGCAAGCGGGCGGACGCACGCCCCGGACGGGACGGGACGGAGTACAGGACGGAGTCGTCGCCGTCGTTATTTACGGCCGTAACTCGTGGGTTTTGCATAAGCGGCCCGTCGAGCGAGAAAGGGAGAGATTAGGGTGTCCCGACGGGGCTTCCTTCCTCGGGATCTCGCCTAATTCCTGTTTATATGACACCGGGGCGCGGCCGAGACACGGAAAGGAAGTCGGGGAGTCGGCTCTAGTATTCTTGTGGGCGATTTAAACGGTGTCCCCGTGACGAAGAGCCGGCGAGTCGCTTGCTCCTGCAACAATTGCGGATCTCGGCGACCGCGACGCTGCCGCTTCGGCCGTGCAAACTTGGCGCGCGTTTATTGCCGATTACGCCAGTCTTCGGGAATCCTCCAAATCGTCGATATGAACACAGCAAATCCGCCGTCGAAGCCGAGCTAAACCACCATTGCGCGGTCGTTCGCGCAGTGCTTCACACGTCGTTAAGTAGCGACGCGCACGAGTGCACCTCGTGCACGCGCGTTTCATGCACATGAATGGCGACTCGACGCATCTTGGCGGATACGCTCCGGTGGGCTTAATCAAACGTACACCGTCGACCGGTCGAGAGAGCTAATTCAACGTTGCGCTCGATCGTACGTCATACACGAAGGGAGAAATCTCAAGAGCGCGTACAGCCGCGTTTCACCGCGGACAGGCAAAAACGAGCGTGACCGCGGATAGAGTGGGTGGTCCGGAAAGGAGCGATATCGAGACGCCGCCTCGTCCGAGAGATAATACCTACGGCGAGCAATAAAATCGGCAGCAGCCAGCGCAACAGCGCGCCCTGTTCTCCTCGCCTCCCGTTCTATCCCGCAACTATAACCGCGTGAATAATACGATGAAGTCACGATATCATCGAGCCACCGGGTATAAGCGCCGCAGAAGTCGCGGGCACCACGGGCGGCAGTGCTAACTAATCGACGTGGTGCCGATCGCTTCTGCGACAGTCGGATTTATCGCTTACCCGTACGCGCGCGCGCGCGTTTGAATTACCGCGCTCCGCTCGCGAATTGTCGATCGATTTGGTCGCGAGACCGGCGACCGCGTACGCTCGTTATTAAACCGGCGTCTCGACGACGGTATCCAAGTCGCGGCGCTTCGCAGATAACGCGCGCACGCGAGAGAGCTCCTTACGTCGATGTAATATTTTATCGGTGATCGTGCGTACGATTTATAGCTTGTCGTTGTGGCGACGACAGCGTAAGGTCGCAATTCGTCTCGTCCATTGAATCCCGTTCGCTGAAAATCCGCGACGTTACCTCGCGACGACGACGGCGAGCCTATCAAGATCGCATCTTGTTGTCGGGTCGGGCCGTGAATTAATTGTCCGCGGAAGATATACGACTTCGGCAACGACTCGCTTGATAATAAGCAGGTAGCCGGCAGCTATCTCGCACGTCCTACGAACTCGCGGCTCGCGTGGGCCGGCCATTCGTGGATTTTAGAATCGACACGACGACGGCCTTCGGCTGCAGCGCGCCGCCAGCCGCGGCTTCCGGCCAAGATCAACTGGAGTACCGACAATACGGTGTCTATGCGTATTAATTGATAAGTATTGCATCGCACGTTTTCATGCGCACGCGAGTGCACAACGCTACATGGAAGTGAAAAAAGTGGCACTTTCTGTTGACCCGTCAGACTGCGCCATTTCAAAACGCGAGATCGAAACCTATTTTTATAGTTATTACTCGAAACTCGTCTCAGAGTGAGACGATCAGATTTCAATTCAGAGTTAGATGTGTGCTTTCTAGATGAATTGCGGTTACAGATATATAAATATCGCATATATTATAATCATAAATGTCAATAAAAATCTGAATATTTTACACGAGACAAATCTCAGGTGGCAACTATTGATACGGAGCCAGGACTGTTAATATCTATGGATGCACGGTGAAAAGATTGATGTAAAATGCAAATGATGGTGGGAATGGCAGCTATGTTTCGAAAAGAAACGTATATTAATTATTAAATTCTAATCCATCAACTTGGAAGTCATATATATATATATATATATATATATATATATATATATATATATATATATATATATATATATATATATATATA